TTCCGTACGGGACTCGCCGATTCACTGTTCGGACTCGCCGATTCCGTACAGTGAATCGGCGAATCGGCGATTCACTGTACAGAATCGTCCGGTTCTCTCTAGAACCGGACGATATCCGATTTTTTAACCGATACGATCCACTTTTTACGATTTTCGAGTCGAACGGGGCGAGTCCGGTTCGACTCGACGTTTTTTAAAACACTGGGGGAAACATTTTCCTATTGCGATCAAACTAGGAAATTATTGTTTCTAGACATAATTGAATTGTAGACCACGTAATTTGAACATCGATTGAGGGAGTATCAACCAACCATTGTGTTTTAAATAAAATTGCAGCCGTTGATGAGCCTAATCTAGTGGTTGGAGCACAAGGCGTGCTTCTCTTCTTATAAAGAAAGACGCACAATGTTATTGGGTGGAGAAATGTTCAAACAAATGTTTGAAATTTTTTCACAACGGATTTTCTTTGACAAGAGGAAAAGAAATCAAGAGGTCAAGTAATTATGTTAATCGTTGTATCTAAGCGGAGATCGTTAGGTTTAGAAATATTAAATGGGCATTTTATAAAACTACACCTAACATTTCAATTATTTGATATCTTGTTCATATTTCTTGATCCCATCATTCTTTTGATCAAATTCAAATAGCCCATCAAATTTATTTTGAAACTTATCAAAATACATCTACAGAAAAATGTTAAAAATCACTAGTTTTGTATTTTTCTAAAAGATATTTTAGATGCATTGGCCTTTTGGTAACAAAAAAAAATGGAGGTTTCTACCTAGCAAGAAAAAAACACCAATGATTTATAAGACCATCGAAAGGAGATAATAAGGTTTGTATATCTATTATAAAAGGAGGTCACAATTACTTATATTCATTCGATGTGAAATTTGATAGCTTGGATGTGTCGTAAAATTTGAAAAAAATTCCTTTGAACTTCGAGCTTGGTTGATGGAATAAATGCAGCTACCCAATTTTTACATCCTATGGTCAATTTTTTTTTCAGAACAATCCAAGATAAACTAGAAATCCTATTTATAATTTACAAAATCATTTACCTTTTTTACAAAAGGTAAATCTCAGCTAACCCATGTATTTACCGAAATCCAGGCATACTAAGAGTTACCTTATGGATCCTTCATGCTTTTCTGTCATAGAAACTTCATGCTTTTTTATCTTCTGATTTAGAGCTAAAGATATTTTTGAGTCCATTCCTCTTTAGCTAACTACTCCAAAGACTATTATAAAAAATAAATCTTTATGATTATAAAAAATAAATGCTCCTAGGAAGCATCATTTGCAGTGATGATGCTACAGATTTGTCTTCTCATTTAGAGCTACAGATTTTTTTTATTCCTTTCCTCTTTAGCTAACCAGTCATTATGATTATAAAACCAGTGAGTAATGGAAGAAGTCATAGCATCTTCAAAAAACATTGAACAATAGTATGTCCTCTTGCTCATAGGAAGCATCATTTGCAAAGTTATAAAATATTTGGAGTGATTTACGTACGGATCCTAAACTTTTTTTTGAAATACAAAATGCTCAATTTATATGTGGAAATTATAGGGGACGTTGGTCTGCGTTTTTTTTTTAAAAAAAAAAAAAAAAAAGGTGCCCTTCGATCCGAGAGCATCATTAGGCTGAATTGTAATTTTTTTTTTAAAAAAAAAATTTGGACCAAGGATTCCATTGTCAGACATAAGGGAACTTTAATAGTCTTTGAAAATAAGCTAAATATTCACATAAAATTAAAAAATAATTTCAAGATAATAGTTATAATTTTATTTAATAATTTTGAAAATAGCTTTTTGGTTAATACTTATAAATCTTTATTAATCTTTTAGAAATCATATTTCCTAATTAATAATTAGAGGATACTTATTTCAATAATCATAATATTACTTACATTAGAAAGAAGGGCAAGTTTACATTAGTTATAAAATAAATTAAAATATAAGCATATTTATCTAATATTTATGATATTTATTTATATGAAACTTATTTTTTGTTATATCAATTTTATACATTATCATAAAATATCACATAAATATTTTACTTTGAATTCATTAAAGGTGCGGTGCTATCTTTCTCTCGTAAAAATTAAGTTGGAAATTTATTTCAATTATTACTATTTCATATAACTTGCAAAATTTCTAATACTCAGCATAAATAGAGAGACCCCATCATATATTATCTCATTCACAGTCATAAGATATTGTCCATAGGCATTCTTAGAATAAAATCATATTAGTTAATTAAAATTAATATTTGTAATGAATAATTTTTAGTTAATAATTTGAAGTGAACATGCATAATTAGAATATTTATTTATTCAATATTTTCACACGTAAAAGAAGAAATTTTTTTCTACGAGTTTCTTTGATAGCAAATTTATTTTTATACATTTCTCTATTGATGATGATGATGAATATTTTAATGATGATGGTGGTAATGGCGATTTGAAGTGAACATGCATAATTAGAATATTTATTTATTCAATATTTTCACAAATAAAAAAAGAAATTTTTTTCTACGAGTTTCTTTGATAGCAAATTTATTTTTATACATTTCTGTATTGATGATGATGATGAATATTTTAATGATGATGGTGGTGATGACGATTTAAGAAAATAATTATTTTTAAGTGAATCACATCACATGCACACGCATAATATTAATTGGGAGTGGTTTCTATAAGGTTGCAACCTTAAACAAGCCAATTAAGACGCACCTCCAAAATTTATCATAACATGTAATTTTAGTGTAAAAAATTCTTAGGATTATCTGAAAATTTATTTTTATATCTAATTATAAAATTTTAAACTCAACAAATAGTTAAAATCAAGTAGATCTATAAATATATGAAAATCTTTAAAATAGACCGTTTAGATAATATATTGCAAGATGCACTATTTCTAGGACTGAAAATCTTTTTTTTTGTCGTATCCATGGATCTTGATGTCGAGATGATCAATCTCGAGATGATCAATTAGAAGGTTTTTCAATATTAAAACGACCTTTTTTTATGTGCATATGTAATTCTATATTTTAATATTGCAGCCTTATATAAACTTTTTCCATATTAATTATGATAAATGATCCTATAGGACCATCATCCACCTATGTGTTTAGAACCCCAAAGGATCACCATTAAATTTGACACGAATCTATAGAAAAGTCAAATCCCACGCCCATGTGATAACTTTTTTAAAGATTCATGCCAATTTTAATGGTGATCTTTTTGATGTCCTCCATACATGGGTAAAAGAGGGTCCTATAAGATCATTACTCATTAATTATATGTAAATAAAAAAATAGATACAATGAGACAATTTCAAATCAAGTGATTAATGATATTATTGTTTAAGTACAAAGTCCAAAATAAAACGTTTCAAACATTAAAAAAACATTTTCAACTTATTGGATTTCACATCAATAATTAAAAATACAGTAAAACCTCTTTGTGTTAAAAATAAATAGTTTAATACTATAAAAATTTTAAAAATAACATAGACGAACTTTGATCCACACCCAATCCGATCAGACCCAACAAAGACAAATCCCGACTAAACCTCGTACATGGGTCCACACACACCATTGGAGCCCAACGGAATCGGCACCAGACCTATCAATGAAGTTTATTTTAGCGATAGTGGCATTTTATCGGGGTAGTCCAAAGTTTTTTAAAGATAGGGCCCACCCCCGGTATGCGGGGGATGAGACGTCACCATCAGTGGGATCCTACGAATCAGGAGTGATCCGCAAAACGATGGCATGTGGCTCGCACATGCCACAGATAATAAAGGGCAGCCACGTGTATCTAATGGACCCACAGGCACGCAGGCCAATTCCAATGAAAATTCCAGAATGTTACCGAAAAGAGCCTACGGTGATCCTTCAATACCTAAAATACCCTCACAAGGATGCGCCTCTCACTTGAGCGTCAAGCCTCGGCAATGACTTTATCGGAAGAGACTAAGATACCCTTCAAGCACACATGAAATTACCTCAATGCCCCGGACCCATTTATAAAATTCAATCGAGGCGAAGACACACACACTGTAGAACGACCTTTATCTTGGTGGAAAAAAAATTTCATCGGAGGGAGGGACACGAGTTCTCATCCACAATAACAATAAATTAGAAAAATCGGATAATCGCATAGCGCTAGTTTGGATTGCCCATTCGAATTGGGTTTGAATCGATTCAAATTGATAATCTAAAAAATTATTAAAAATAAATAAAACAAAATAAAAATAAATCTAAGAATTTATCAGGTAAAGATTTAAGAGAACCTAAAAAAAAAAATTAGACCAGCTTGAATAACCAAAAAACTAAAAGAAATGAAGACTCACATAGAGAACTGGACTAAAACCTATATCATTCTAAAACAGATTCAATCCCGACCAATTCCCATCCAAATTGAAAAATCCAAATATAAAACCGCAAGGTATAAAACACAAATTTACAATAACCCAATTGGACTAATAATCCCCCAATTGGAATCGGGGGGAGCTTCAGGTCCAATTCCAATTTTTCATAAAAAGTTTCAATAAACTAAGAATGTCTGGGGCAGTAACAGGGTGTGGGATAGGAAGACGACCCCCCATATGTTTGGTTTGTGAGAAAAAAAATTGAGACTTTGGTTTGTGAGAAAATATAACGAAGTCATCTGGCTACCTCATGCGATATAGGAAAGTATTACAACATTTGTCAAACCATGAGAGAATGAAGAAAAATCGCATCCCCACAAATTTGACCAAGCTACCAAACTCGGGGAACCATCATCCAATAAGAACGAAAGGCAACCCGAATTTCATGAGAAACTCACACATCATCATCCAAAACATGAATATGCAAAATATTCATACATTGATTTTACAATGATTATGATTTTATGAATTGTTGTTATTTTGCCCGACAAAAAATATTATACTCGGTCATTAATTGAAACTTCAAAGAGGATCGCCCGTCGAGTCAAAAAGATGGATGCCTCTGCATGAACTCCACCCAACAAGCATGGCAGGCAGGCAGGCAGTTCAAGAATTAAAAAAAGCGAAGAAAACAGATATAAGCAATTTTCACAAATTACAAGCTACAATACCAGAGTCCTGTACCTAGACATCACACATTTCACCCCATACCCACAACATCTGAGGTCCTTAATCCCATACTATGCATATGAGAAAACAAAGAAAACTTCAGTGAACACAAGTATTCATATATGCCATCCAATAGGTCCGAAACATAGTTTAACCTACTTTAAAGTAAAAGCAACACTTGGACAAAGATTGAAACTGAAACCACCAAACATAAGGAGCGCCGCACCAGCATCGAATCACACCAACTCCGCTCCTTCCCCTGCAAAATTATTAATCAAGATATACAAGTCTCAAAACTGTTCAAAAATAAATAAATACTAGTCTCAAGAAAAGCTCGTATAAAAACCATTTCGTATTTGTGAGTGCAATAAGTGGTGTCCACAAAATGTCTTCTTGACTAGACCTGTTCAAAAAATTGAATAGGTCTGGTAAGAGTTAAAAAAGCGTTCAAAAAAAAAATCAAAAAAAATTATATGAAAAATATATTCCAAAACGAAATTGTTGAATATTACTGAAAAAATGAATTTTAAAAAATCGATTTGTGTGCCCAAGGGTACTTTTGACATTTTCTAACAAAAAAATGTAAAAGCAAGTATTAATACCCCGAACAAAAAGAAGGGATTTTATATAACTTTTTTTTTGAAATTTTTTTAAAATACCTAATTGGATCACCGAAACCAAAAACAGTGTCAATGACCGGTTCTGATCTTAATGGACCGCTGGATTGTGCACGCACTGCTTTACACTTTGATACAGTGCTTCCCAACTTGGATTAGTGGGGGAAGATCATTGAAGGGATCGGCAAACCAGATCGGTCTGGATTGTTACGAATGGTGATCCAAAATAATATTAAAAATAAATAAAATTAAAATTATACGATGGAAATTCAGGGGCAATTAAGAAAACCTAGAGAGAGATCAGGGGCCCTCCTTACTGTGTCTTTTGATATATACACACAAGAGACGGATGGTCATCAGAATGCGGTGCCCTCAATGAACGGCAGATCATCGAAGCTCCAGAGGTCCATCGACCCTCCTCCGTCCTGACACGTGTCCGCCACAGGCACCCTCTCCTCTACCCCCTCGAGGTAAGGAATCTGAAAAAACTTCATATACGACTCAAAAGCCGACAGCTCCTCCGATAACTTCTCCGCCGGATTACCGTTCATGTCGCCCTCACTTTTCGCCGAAACTTTGCACGAAAGATCAAGGCCCCCTCCGTCCACGTCAGTTGATGCCAGCTCAGACCCCTCGGGACACGTGGCCAGCCCAGATGATATCTCGTTCACCTCGTTTTGGTCCCACGATAGGTCCGTACAGTCGAAGGAGTTGCTCCCTTGATCGGAGAAGATATGGACCACATCGGACGGTCCCGAAGCGCCGATCGCAATGGGTGGTGATCGCTTGGCCTTCTTGGGCACGTGCGGAACGGGGTCATTGGGGAAGTTGACCTTGGCCTTGGGGCCGCGTATGCGCCGGGCCTCGGCGTCGTAGGCACGTGCGGCCTCCTCGGCGGTGTTGAATGTTCCTAACCATACACGTACCCCCTTGCCAGGGTCTCTGATCTCAGCCGCCCATTTGCCCCATGGCCTCTGGCGAATGCCCCTGAACACGTTCTTGCGCTTCCTCTTAGCGCTCCTCTCGGGCAAGGATGAAGTCTTCAGCTCTGGGACCTTCAAATACCCACCTTGTTCTGACCATCAAACAGATTAATTAAATTTTCATACGGCGAAGTTTTTTTACATGATGGGTAAGCTCCTCATAATATTCAAAATAAAAATGAACAAGCCGACACTTAATTTGTTACAAGATACATTCCTGCTTTTAAGATTTCAAATTATTTTTTTCTATCAGATATCATTCCAAAGGTTTCTAATTTCAAAACTGCATTTTGCTTCTATAGTAGAAGGTCGCAACATTTTTTTTAGGTGGCACCAGTTACTTCCCCGTTTATGACAACGGATTAGAGAGATGTTTCATTATAGGGATGCTACGGATTATGGTTTTGTAAAGTGTTTCATGGTTAAATACTAAAAAATGGTAAAAAAATTGCATTAAAAAAAAAAGGATAAAAAATTATCCTATCCTCAGTGCCCTTTGGGTAAGAAGGGAAGATATACTTAATATGGAGCATAAAATATCTAGGCCCTAGAATATGTATTTGGGAAAACCAACCAAAATACACACAAGCAGCCAATAACTTTCCAACTATTCCTTTTGATTAAATTTTGAGTTTGAATAGCAGAGAAATGACAAACTATCAAACTATATAAAAGTAACTAGTATCATTAATAATTTTATCATATATTTATTCCTTGAGGACCAAACGAAAGGATAGGATCAGATGAACAGGGGTGTTAAAAGTGAATAATAGAAAACAAAACGACAAACATCACCCACTTTGAAAGGAAAATATCATCTTGCTCCTTTCAATATCGAAATATAGCGATTTCCTAAGGTTAAAAACATTAAAGAAGAATAATGTATACTATTACAGTATACTTTCCCTAATGTTATTTGTCCACCGAAACATAGTTAATGCACATTCACAACCATCCGATTTATAATTTCAAAGACGGACGAGTGATCGCGATCACTTTGTAATAAAAGCAAATGGTCTCTTGATATAAATTCACTGATTTGATACAAAGTCCAACTAAAATTTCTCAAATATTGAGATAGATTTCAATTTATTAGATTTTACCTCCAATGGTTAAAAATATTTGTGAGCTCCTTATACGAAAAAATAATTGATATCATAATATGAGTGTTATTCATCCACTAATTTGATAATTAATAATAATAACCGCCTCTTTTTTGATGGGAGGGGGTGGAAACACTCATCCACTAATTTGATAATTAATAATAATAACCTCTTCTTTTTTGGTGGGAGGGGGTGGAGAAGAGGCGATAAAATAGACCAATTAATGACCATAAATTCTTTTGTAATGTAAATTAATTACCATCAAATTAGCATGGCCTTCTTAAACTTTTAAGAATTTGTTAATGTTTCGCCTCATTTCCACTTTTTCAAGAGAAGTTCACCGGGTAGTGAAAATCTCCGAGGAAGGTATTGAATGTCCCAAGAAATATCTGTATAAAATCGCATAAATGAAGAAGGAAAAAAAAGGTAGAAAATTCAGGCACAAGTCAGAAATCCGGGAAAACAATTTTTTCGTAATAGCTTACTTATGTTGAGTGAAATAAGAACAGTGATATTTCAAAGTAAAATAATATAACCCAATAGTAAAAAAAAAAAAAAATTGATACGTCAGAATCACGAAATATTTTTCTTCTATTTTCCAATTTTCGCAAACTCAGGGCCTAGGACCAGATCTGGATCTGAACAAGTTACTCGGACAAAGTAGTCGGAGCAGTGTATTGGGCCAAAACGCCCTAAAATTCAAAAAATAATTTTAAATAAATTGTTAAAAATAGGGAAATAATAAAAAATAAATAAAAAATATATACAAAAAATCCAATTAAGCCGAAAATATATAAAATCAGGATTTAGAAAAATACAATCTGAAAAAGAAAATATAAAAATAGGACATAGGACTCACCAAATATTGTTACAAATCTAAATTACATATAAAATATTTCTACATTTATTCCATTATTTTTTATATTTATAATGTTAGTATAATCATTGTACCAAGTACTCGGCCGAGTTTGTGAACAGTAGCTACTATTTTTTATAAATACTCTATCCCTTCCTTAAATTGTAATTCAGCCAGCTTTGGAGACTCTAATATTTCAAAAAAATTAAAAAAAAACCGAGGAAAATGGAGGAAATTTACAACCACATTTTAGAGAAAAATATCCATCTTCCAAAATTTACAACTGTGGGGCAACAACCAAGGTTAATGAATAAAAAGATTATTTAATAAATATGAATTTTCTGAAGTTTCATGATTAACAAAATAAAACAGCAGAGAAAATTTTGAAGCTAAAATAAAATAGCAAAAGAATAAATACATTAATTCAAATTAAGGGCATCTCAGTCAAACCATTAATGGGGGTCTTAACGTCTTAACAAACATTTACACAAGAATAAAGTGATTAAAGCTGGGCGAAAAACTACTAACTCAAGGCATAACAGGAGATCAACCTGCAATAAAGATAAGGAAAAATAAAATAAAAGTAATACTACCAAAAAATCAAACCAATACTACCAAAATTAAAATAAATACTTCGGAATAAAATAAATTGAAGTTTCAAGAGACTAAAATAGCCTAAAAAAAAGTCATAGGAGATCCAACATTGAACAATAAAAAGAAAAATAGAAACGATTTTGATCAACTCTGTTCAAAATTGAAACAAATTTTGATCGAATGTGTTCATTTTGTGGTAGATAAGAAAAGAACAAAACGCATAAGCTTCAAAATTATTTTAACAATAGAGTAAAGCAAAAAAGACTTAAAAATAAATACAAGTTGGAAAAAAAAAAAATTTGAACCAGAAAGGTAAAAACCTCCTGCCACGAATACAAAATGAAAATAAAAAGAGATAGAAATAAAAGGAAACTATTTACCCCCAAAAAAAAGGAAAACATTATCAAAAAAAAAAAACGGGTACAACGAAGAATAAATGTACAGGGAAGCCTATATATCCTTCCGAAAAGGAAAACATTATCAAAAATATATATATATATATATAGTAAAACGAAGAATAAATGTACAATGAAGCCTATAAATCCTCCCTCTATTACATGCATCTTCAGAAAGGTATAAACTTGAGAAATAAATCCGATGCAAAACAAAAATAAAACTGTTCTGAAACATTTTCGGAAATGCAAGAAAAGAAACCCTAATCAACCATTAAAAATCACTTTACTTCCTCAACTTTATATCGTTTTCTTTTCATTTCTCCCTTTTTAAGCGCATCGATCAGAAACTAATATTCAAAAAGCCACTGATAAATTGAATAGGCAACAGGCCCCAAAGAAAAAACCCAGAAAAAAATCATTTTTAACCAATAAAACAAACGGAAAAAAAAATTAAAAACCGCTTACCAGTGATTCCCCCTTTTGGAAAAGCGAAAGGCTTGATATCCTCCTCCCCTTCATCTGATTCATCCTTGAACTCCTGAAAATCGGCTTCAAAGTCGTCATCAATGTCGATAAACGGCGATTTTATCTGGTTACGAGTGATCCTCCTAGACCGATTAGTCGGAATAAAATCGGATATAATCGCTCCGCCACACATTTTCAACCAGCAAGTAAACCCTAGCTCAAGTTCGCTGCAATAATAAAGAGAAAGCTTCTGGTTTTAGAGAGAGAAAGTAGAGAGAGAATTTTTTCTTATGTTTTCACAAGAAGGAGATGAGGGGCGGCATAGAGGTCATTTTAAAGGGCTTCATGCAATTCTTTGTTTTTTTATCGACTTTTACGTTTCCAATATCTGTCCTAATCTTTATTAAGAATGCCATGAAAGTCTCTTTTTATAGAAGCCCAACATATCTTGACTATTTATTTCTGGTACTAAGAACATCCAGATATATGCTATCTGAACTGTCAGGATCTTCATGATGGAGAACTGTAAGAAATATGGACCGTCCATTTATTAGAGCCCAGCATACTCTGAATAAAAGGGCAGCAATCCGATTTCCTTTCTCGCGAAAAGCTGAGATTTTTTGTTGCTTATGAAAATGATGGGCATGTTGAAAGTCCTATATGTTTTTTTGGGCCTTTTGGCCATTATTGTCGTATTTTTAAAAAAATTACATTTTTATACCATACTATTAACCATCATAGCTTCTTTTTCCACCGATCCCAAGTACAAATATAATTATTTGGATTAAAGTACCCCAACTTTAAATTGTATTTCTAAAATGTGACGCCCAACATGCAGTCAGGCACAAAAATGTTTCTAACCACCTGTCCCATATAAACTAGCTTTTGATATAAAATGTCTTTTATACGTCCGATAACAAATGTGAAGCATATATTGAAATTGTACTTGTTCAGCACATTATATGTCGGACCGGCTTTTATATTCAAATTGTGCTAGTCCAACACAATTACCAGCTTATAATGAAATTGTGCTTGGATTAATAACTTTTTTTCACTTGAAGGTGAGTTAATAATATGGTATCAAAAAATGCTCGGGAGCTTGGGAGTTTGTGAGGCAAGGGGTGGGGACGGGATAATTTTTTCCTTTTTTAAAATTATTATCAGAATTATCTTCTTTTTTTTAATTAATTAAAGCGAGGGGACAAGGGTAAGATTTTTTTTTTTTAAATTATTATCAAAATTATTATTATTTTAATTAATTAAAATCAATTATATAAATCTAATATATCATTTTCCTCTATTAAAAACCATATCCACCCTAAAACCATAAATTCCTATATCATTTCAAATAACTTCCAACGATCTATGTTTACTTAGTCGGTACCTTTTCTGAGTCTTTTCCCTTTGAATCCTTTTTTTGTTAAATCTAAATGCAAAATAGTGGCGGAGGGATTAAAGAGGTCGCATGGATTTCATGATTTAAAGTAGGGACAAAGATGACTTAAGAATTTAACATAAAACCCAAAAGCGGAATGGCGGTTCTATTAACCCATGTAGACAATAATACCCTAAACACTTTTCATTATGGCATAAACATCCTTCGATTGAACAAATTGAATTTTGCATCCTGTATATTCTCCGTGCGACCGAACGTCGCCTCCTACCATTGGCACGGCCAACGGCCTAAGGGTTTTTCTGTGCTCCCGAGGGAGCACCTTGGGCTAAAAAAGATAAGGATCGGGGGGCTTCCTTTACTCCCACGGGACCACGACATGCAAGCTCATTTGTTTCTCTAATTGCTTCTATCAACGGCTGACATATATCATGTCATATGCTTATTTGCACGCAGTCCAACCATAAGAAACTTGTTCACAAATGAACCTATTGTTAGGTTGTATTCATCTCTTCGTTAACTCTTGTTGCAGAAATTAAAGTTTTTTTAATAGAATATTTCGATATGAAAGATCTTGGAGAAGTTTTTGTACGTTCTAAAAATCAAGATAATGAGAAATGGCAGAAAAATAACCATTCGACTATCGCAAGAGATATATTGTAAGAAAATGTTGGATTAATTTGAAAGGGAAAATTGTAAGGTCATACTAACCCTCATTTATAAGAAGACCAAATTAAGCCTAGTCATGTGTCCCAAAAGAATCGAAAAAAAAGCGGCCATGCAGTGAGTATTCTAAACATAAGTATAGTTGTGTTGTTGGTGTATGCTATCGTATCGATGAAACCAGATTTATCATTTGCTATGAGTGTGATCAGCAGGTTCCAAAGTAATCCAGGCATGAAGCAGTCGAAGGCAATATACAGAGTTCTTCGATATTTGAAGGGAATTGTTGCTCTTGCGCTCACCTATAGAGGAGGCTCAGAAATTCAAATACAGGGATATTCATATATGGACAATGAGGGCGTTCTAGATAAGATGAAGTCCACAGTTGGGTATATCTACACACTTGCTAGTGCAGTTGTTTCTTGATGCTCAAAAAAACAAAATGTCGTTGGACACTCGGCTATGGAGTCAGAGTACATGACGTGTTGTCTCACAGAAAAAGAAGTTGTCTAGTTGAAGAAGTTCCTGAGTCAGCTTAAATTCGTATCAGTAAAACGCTCGTTTGTGATGATCTTCTACGATAACCAATCAATGATTTGTGCTAAAAAACCACAGTTTCACAAGAAACCTCAGCATATAAAGGATGACTACTACCATATTCATAACATGATCCGAGCAAGAGAGATAGAGGTCGGTATCTCCCGAAAGATACTTTATTAGCAAAACCTTACACCTTTAGATTGAGTCTCTCAGCTGCTCTTATTTCTGATAGCAGCGTAGTAGTAGAAAAGATGAGGTTGATCGATATTATTGTTTGGTCAGGAGAATGGGTCTATAACAAAGTAATCAAGACAAGACCAAACCAGCAATCCAACCTATCGAATCACCAACCAGTACCTTCGTTGGTCGGTGACTATCTAAATAAAGTAGGCAAATATTTCCAAATCATTATTCATATTTTTTTCTTGATATTCTAAAAATTTGGTCAAACATATTCGACCAGTGGTCAGACTAGTTTTGACTTGCGAGGTTCTTCATCGATTCAATGACTGCTCTGATTCATATAACACTGGTTCATAATAAGATGGGTGAGGTTTTTGCTAATGTCTAGAGGTATATATATCTCTTCTGACCCAAATTATAATATTCATTGTGATAGTGAATTTCTAGATGTATTTCCTCCGGGATAATAATGTTGTATTCACTTATTTCATGTCTAGAATGTACCCGATTTTAGGTAGGATCCTGATGCTTGAGTTCTTAGTTATGTGAGAAAGGGGTTACGAGAAAATATTTGGAGAGATGAAGAGACAGTGGGAGTAGAAGTTGGTTTTAAAATTAGATGAACTAAAAAAAAGTATAGAATACAAGTTTAGTAATACTAAGAGTACAGACAAGGAAGTAGTTAAGATCGAAGGTAAAAAACTACCAAAAAAAGAGTATTGTCGATATCTTGGGTTGATAGTATAGAAAAATAAAGAGTTGAGGAAGATGTCGTACATATAATTAAAGCTAAGAGTGCAAAGTGGAGATATGCAACCGAAGTTTTATGTGATCGTCGCATACCAATAAAGCTGAAAGATAAGTTTTTATAGAACATCTGTGAGACCTACTTTGCTTTATAGGGTAGAATATTTGGCGGTCAAGAAACAACATACCCATAGGATAAGTATAGCTGGAGATGATGATGTTAACATTGATGAGAGGCAAGATAAAAAGGGATATAATTCAAAATAAACACATTTTAGAGATTTTAAGTGTGGCTATAAACATACGATAAGATGAAAGAAAGTAGACTTAGGTGGGCAGGCCATAGACAACACAAACCCAATGTGGCGTATATTAGAAGGTGTGGGTTGGTTCAAGTGGAAGTCTAAAACAAGGTAAGATACGTGCCGAAAAGGACGTGATTAGCAATAGAGAGAAAAGATATAAAGAGTATCACCCTTAATCAAACACAATCGCGAATCAGGATTTGTACATTCGTTTCCGATACTTAAAAAAAGGGTTTAATGAGATAGAAAGCTTAGCAAGAGATTATGACAGTAAAAATTCTAAAGAGAGATTGGGGAAGCTGGGAAATCGAAGCAAGAGAGAGAGAGAGAAACACCCAAAGTTAGACACTTGTTCGAGACACACTTGTTTGAGACTAGTCAGGAGCGACAGTTATGAAGGTGGCAACTTAGAGAGATGGCGAGGTTAGGTGGAGCACAATCAATGAAATGAGAGAGAGAGAGAGAGCACCGAGTTAGGTGACAGTATGGCAATGGTGCAAGTGCCACCTACTTCGATGCACAAATATTAGAGATGAGAAATCGCTGTAAGAGAGAGAGAGAGAAATGACGCAAAAAGAGGAGAGAAAGAGAAACGAGGCAACGTCAGGATGTCACCCGGTGCATTGCACCATTCCCAAACCCAAGGCCCTTACACCTAAAATAACAACAACTCCAAATTTCGTACTTATCCCTATCTCTGAAAGTTGTGCCTCTCATCCTCATTTTTAAAAATAATGACAAATTCATCCAAGCCAAAAGCTATCGCTTCATCATCGAGTAAGGCACCTTTCTATAACGAAAAATGTTTTAGCCGTATCAAATGAAGTAAAGCTTCACCTCCAAACTCAAATTTAGTGTTGTGGTATCGAAAAACTCTCAAATTGACGATCACGATTTTTACCATTATGATTGTGGAAAACAAATTTGGAGTCTTAATTTTATTGTATATGGGATTGTATATGATGAAGCCATTTATTTTTTATACTTTTGGGTTTATAAGGCCTTTAAAAGCCTTAAGAGATATTATATAAACATCTGAAATAAATGAATCATAAATTCAGTGGGAGTGTGGTCCTCTTGTAGATCATACTAGCCAAATGCAATTTATTGATACTCGGATTAGGCTTGACATGCTAGGCCAGTTGAGTTGGAAAACCCAAGGTACTTGGGCATAGAGATGAAACCAATGATGGTTTAGTGGGTTAGCCCTTTATGAAGTCGGAGTATGTTCGTACTGTGTGACCCTTGTGTGTGATGAATAGTTCATAGAGACATGACTAAAACCTCATTGTTGTATCATCACACAACATGTACATAAATAATTTTACTAAGATAATAATCCATCATTGATGGCGAAACGTATACATGTGAGAGATTACTCTCACCATAGAGTCATGGTTGTATCATGGTCTAGTAGATCATGGTTTGTCTCTAGGGGAGAACCTGAAATCCACATACTGGGATTACGTCTCTTAGCCTATT